CTTTAGTAACGAGCTAGTGGGAACTTGTTTTTTTGAGCCATTTCTTTTGAACCTTTCCCTTTCACTTTCCTCTTTTCTATTACCCGTATTGATCCAGAAGTGGACCATGATGTGACTGCCTGATGACTATTGTACAGGCGGAATGGGTGAAATGGTGGTGCCAATACTATCCCACTTTGAAGTCCTCATCAGCTACGACCCCTCTGCCACAACCTATCTGCGTTCCGAGTATGCAGATGGGCGAAAGAGTGTACAATTTGTTACCTGTTGTGAAGACAGGTACCGTTCGTTGCGCAGGAACACATTCGACTGTACGGTGGTGCATCACCCCACTGGAAGACCGTGCTTGTCGGACCTTGTGGCATACCAAGACGACGGTGATCGTTCGTCACCTTGGGTCATCAGACGAGCGCCACCACGACACGAAAAACGCATGTACTAAAAATACACGTAGCTTATTCACAACCATGGTGAATATGGGAACAATTTTGATCACAGAAGGGGTTTGAGCTCGCCCATTAAGTGTGAATTGTTCAAATTTGGCAAGAAAATAGGAACCCTCACAGAAAATATGGCGCTTGTAGCGCTGTTCGGCTTAGGGGAGGGGGACATACAGTTTCAAACAATGCGGGATGCCGCTGAAAGTCGATTTACCCACCTGTGAACATGATTCGAAGCCCTCAACTAGACGATCCATTTGCTCTGTGGAAACTCCGTATAGGAGAGCTTTTCGTACGATACCTGGATTATTATCGCCAGTAACAAATATCGGTCGCTTGAGGTCGTGCTCCAGGATAGTGGCAATCTGAAAGTAAAGTGCTTAAAATCAGAAAATCTTGTTGGTGTTGGTATCTGATATGATATTCGATATCTTGTTATAGCAACTAGGGCCTGTACAAGTCTCACCAGTTACTATTAGGTGCCCCGCCTAGCTGTGTTACACCTTGCGCCCCCCTTCACGTGCACGAATTTCAGGAAGAATAGCTCTTAAGGATTCACCTTCTACCGAATCCATACAATAAACTCCCAAACTTTCCCAGGTGGGACTGCATCTCTGCTTATTGTCTCTGTTGATCAAAGAGCTCCGTTGAGATATCACATGTTCCGAAGTGAGGTTTGTATCCCACGAGCTACAATCACATGCTGATTCCCAGGAAACACGAGGCGCTACAAGCCCACAACTCAGCTGACTGCTGACTAGACTAACTTGGGGAAGTTGCAAAAGCTACGATTTCATCGAAAACAATGCAGTTCTGCAAAAAGTTTCAGTTTCATAGGGAAAACATTTGAGGCGGAAAAAACAGCGAGAGCATCCCGTGGTTTTCAAAAGCCTACTTCAGAAGAAACTCCTACCTGTCTAGGCAGCTGATATGCTACATGACTACTGTATACAATTTGCTACGCCTATTTGTTGTCTGCCCCGAAATTCAGTTCTACGTGAAGAGCAGCTCGGAGAGGCCGCGTCAAGGATGAGGTAGGTGGGGTATGGGACAAGATGCAGAGCACACAGATGCAGAGCACACATGCTAAGCCCCGCCCACAGCGGGCGGGGCATGCACCGCAAGCCGGCGGTGAACAGATGAAAATTCATGATTGGCTTTTCATTCATGTTTCGGAGCTGTACAGAGATGAGGGAAAAGTGGATTAAGGTCAATTCAATGACTCGGTTCATGAGGGGATTCAATAATCGCAAAGAGCCAATGGAGAAGAGGGAGATATGCCGAGAGTTGAGCAGACGTTGAGCAGGCGCGTGGTATGTAGAGACCCGCCCTCAGTACGCAAAACGTGTCTTCAACCATGAGGAACTCGATCCAAAATATTGTAGTTCGGTTTCAGAGCCCTCCAGAAACCAAGCGAATCAAGGTTAGCGTAGGGTCACAGGATGGGAAAGAGAGGCAGGCACAGTTTGGCGAGGGGGTGCATTCTGCACTTCTGATTACTTCCCATCGAAGTGTCGAATCCATACTAGCGTATCCTCCTCTCGAGTATAACAGGTTTCACCACGCGTGCGCCTTCACGAGCGTTCGCCAAGCTTCACAAGCGCACAGTTCCAACAGACGCTGAGACCTGTGCCGAAGTTGTGAAGAAACGGCAGAAGCTGCAAAATGCCCACCCCCCCCGTCACCGAAAAGCGCCGCCGTAACTCAGTGCGGGCGGAGCTGAGGTGGGCAAATGTGAGGGAGGGGGCGTATTTTTCCACAACTGTACACAACGCGATGTGCGTTGTGGAGCAGACGCATAACGTGGATTCCATAACGTGGTGAGCTAAGATGCAAACTAACATGAGGCCAAGCCCAGCATGCTTCTTGAACAACTGTCCACATCAATCAATATTCCGTATAATTGGAATCCTGACAGTTCAAACTCACCACATCCACTCCCATAGCTCATCCTATCAGTAGCTTTGCACACAACCTATGCCATCGGTTTCCATGGGCACCACCACCGTCCAAGTCGATTGTGACGTTCTTTCCAGCAACTGGTAATCGGGTGCGATTGCTTCGAGCACTCCACCATTCTTCACATGACCGTGGAAGATTTGCTGAAATAGGGAACATAGCACTGGAAAGATAACAAATCGGTCGTGTATACTTTCCAAATCAGTGGGAATACAGGAGGAGCCAAAAAAGTCACTTCGACCGAGTCACATATCAGCAAAGTTTTCGCTGCCCAGACAGAGGACGTGGATACGAGTACCAGGGCGGAAGATACCCAAGATGTTCCTCTATAAGCAGGAGCTGGCTCTCGCCCATCACCTTCATGTACACCAAAATATGAAGTCATCTCCAGTCGCAGCCTGACTGGAGAAGACCTTTGGAATTCATGTCACCTCCAAACAGCTGCGAAACTTCTAGTATGGAGTCACCCATGGGTAGCTACCTGGAGACCAGTACTCTCGATCTGGATGACCTCCAACATCGAGCAGCTCCGACAAACTTCGCCACGGTCTAGGACATCATCTTCACCACAGTCGCCAAGGCGCAGGGTTGATGGTATGGACCGGACGCACCTGAAATGGAAAGTTTCTTCGTGGCCCCGGACTGAAGGTGAGCGCTGGCGGTTACATCGAGCAACTCGTGAAGAATATCCTCCTCACATGTCGTCGCCCGTACCTTCTTGGAAACTTTGTACTGCTACAGCATTGGGTGCCACCACATGGAATCGAAGGGCATTGGAGAAACTCTCGCGCGCTATATGGACATGAAAGGGCGGCTGATACCTAAGAAGGTGCGAATATCCATAGATAGGTCACCCCTGAATCCCCTCAACTAACCCGGTTCACGGGCGGAGTTCAATAGGGTGATCTACGGTGGCGGAGAAATCGACTATCTCGCTGATCTCAGGCACCACATCGCGGTCGCGTGCCAGAATCTCTCGATGGCGCTCGTCCAGAAGGCTGTGGCGGAGTGTCATGATAGTATTTAATATGCTCTTTAATATGGTGGTAGAAATGTCCGATCAGAATTCAATAAAGTGTAACTTATAGCGCCTCGAAAGTCAATGAAGAAAAGTGACTTTTTTTTGCCCCCCCCCCCTTGTACAGAGTGTTGGAATAGCGCGCTCGACTCAAGAACGCGTTGCACGATGACCCGATGGACTGAACCAGGAAGGAACCATTGAAGGGAGACAACGTGGTCAGGTGTCTCCGCCCATCGGATTATCGTGCAGTGGGCATTCACAAGTTGCGAAGCCTTGCAGAATGACTTGCGTAGGTCAGCCAAACCAAACTTGTCTGAAGAACCATAACGCTGATTTGTTATAAATAGACGGTCCCCCCCGTATGAGCTTCATATCCCAAATCGCATTCAGAGACTAACTACCGCCTATTACGGTCCTTACCGTGTGCGGGGTGAATGGATCTACAGCATCTACAGCTAACGTGCCACTTTCTCCGGGCAAAAGTGCACGGGAACGGGACTGGAGGGTTGTGATATCCGAGTGCTGTGTCTCGACTTGGCCAGACGAGCTAACCATAGCCAAACAAGCTCCTTGTCTGATCACTCGCACTTCTGGTTGTTCTCTATCTCTGACTGCCCATCCGCCAGGGAACTTTGTTATCAACGTAAGCGCTGCACCTTAAGGACAGCGCGCGAGTTGGGAAATAGTGTTTGGGTAGCACTACACTCCAGCCCCGTTTGAGTGTAGAAAGTGGCCCGCTACTGCAGCTGTGGCCTCATTTATCTCAGGGATAAAAACGATCCCTCGGAGGTGATTATGCAGGTTGTCTTTAAAAATGCCCTACGATCTTGAATGAAAGTGGAGCACGTACTAGGAATGCGCAAAATCTGAGCGGGCAGAGTTCGTTGCAATCGACTAGTTTGTGCTTTGCTAACGTTATTTTCCTTTGGAAGCGACAGATGTGCCCTCAACTGTATTGCAATTTGTAAAGAGGTTTTTACAACGGGTACATAGTAGGGAAAAGTATCCGTTCCCACCTTACTTGGGTTTAGCGTTCTCCAGACGATCCTCTGTTAACAGATTAAAAAAGTGGGCGAACGCTCACAACCATCACGTATTCCTTGTAGGTGCACCCTCATTGTGACTATTTAATGAGGAGGGGCAAGCCA